CCATCTCTGTTGAGCGATGGATGGTTGTAATGCCCTGATGTAGATGGCCTCTTTAATCCCTCGTGCAAAGACGTCCGGTTCTGAGTCCAAGATCCTTACTTTTCCAGTGAGACTGAATGTCCAGGCGATTCTATGTGCATATGTTGTGAGACCTCCGAAATAGTCGAGCTAGGTCGTTTGTGTTCTAAGAAACGAACCTAGCCTTGAGGGATCATTGCACTACATTGCACTATTGACGGTGCGGCTAGTTGTGAGCATTGCATACATAGTTTAATTTCAACCGGTAAAACCAAAAGGTTAATAGACCTGAAAGTTTAAACCTTGTAACGCTAGATATCTTGTGTCAGCAGCTGATCTTCCTTTCTATTTATCTATTTGTTTTGTACTGCATAGGAGACGAATGATAATATAAATAATAATGAATATACAATTGCATGTTCTTATGTGGCATTATCAATTATTTAAGAGCGAAGGATGGCATCCAAAGTGGTAAAAATATCAGTTATTCAAAGGTTTCTAATAATATATTTACACGAGGACTTAAATTGTTTGGGTGATTACGATCAAATATAAAATATGGTCGTTGTTCTTTCGTACTATAGTACTCTTAATTAAAGCGCCACCGTGCAAAATGTTGTCAAACTACAGGGCTGGTATCAGGGCTTTGTTGATGTACTATAAAGGAAGTTTGACACATTCAAATTATAGAAATTTATTTATTTAATACATTTGTTTCGCTACAAAACATCAAGTAGTGCGTACGGAGCCAATTACTTTTACAAAGTGTAGCTCAAAAAATACAAATCTACACAGTTTTTACAATTGTGCCATTCTCACCTAGCATGCCCAAACCACAAACTGTAGATGGACCGTGTACAGCGCAACAATAGCGAAAATCTACTGGACATCACATACTTTTCAGACAGACTGTTTTATGTCTAGATCTTTGCGGACAACTTTATTTCTATTCAATAAGCTTTCCTTATGAGTCACATTTCATGTGAATAGACTTTTAAGATATTTTTCACACATATAGTACAAGAAATGTGAAAAATAATATTGTTTTTAACATCATAGTTTTTATATAACATTGCTGGTATATGTATACACATAGTAATACATTTTCGTCACTTTTTCTATTTTTTCGTCTTTAAGACTCAAGGTCAGTTTAAAGTGTTAATGTTTGGCTACTACGAGCTTTTTTTTTTATTATTCCAACATGTAATCACTAGACGTGGTGACGGCACACTCAAGTTTTATCAACTTATATTACTTCGATCATAAAACACATCTTTACTTAAATCTACATCATTACTAAGAAGCGAGAAGAAGCCAAATTATCGTAATTATTAGACTATATGTCCATAGTACATAGAATTAGCACTAGCTTGTACATTGTATATATTCATTGCAAACTGTGATGTCTTTTCTGTGACCTGTACTGAACCCAGTTTGTATTTGCGTACAATAAAGGTCTTCATTCATTCATTAATGCCGCCACCAACACAGGGGATAAATACATGACAGGACAATACTCATTTTCACCTGAGCGAAGTGAGGAAAGTCGTGTAAAGTGCCTTTCCCAAGGGCACAAGATCGGTGGCATGTCAGGACTCTACGAACTTATGAACTTACAAAGGTCGTGAATATGTAAAGGTCTCAAAGTCTTACTTGAACGATCCAGACCAAATACCAACATTGAGTAGATAATTAACAATACAGCTACCTTGAACAATTGCTACTTGTTAGAAAGGTTATGAACTTAAAACATAGCCTTATTTGCTCTTCCCTCGTGGTACGCATTGTTAGGCTAAAAATACATGTACCCTGTCCAAAGGCCCCGACATTAGGGCACAAGCAATATTTTAGCTGGTTCCTGAAAATTTGACTTTTGATTTTTTTTTTCAAATCACAGAGAATCGTGTCACCAACAGGTTGAATTTGAATGTTTATGACACATTTTTTCAGTACTGTAACGTTTGGACGATGACTAGGTTATTGCCTCCGGGGGAGGAGACATCCTTCTTGGGAAGGGTTTTGTGAGAGATTTAGATTTTCATGTTCGCAGCTGTTTCTCGCGTTTGGGTGGACGGATTCTTTTGGGACTCGGTATATGTTTTGCTATTGAGCTGTAGATGATGCACGTTCTTTTGTTTTTATTGTATATGTATTTTCGGGCGGGAAAATGGTGCCATTCCTGTGAAGTTCTTATTGCTATTTGCAACGAGCTGGGTTGGATTTTTTCAGTACTGGCTGTGGAACAATTTTAATGTCATATTTTACAAGTAGTCCCTAATGTTTGGAGAAGAACTTGCCATGAAAGCCAAACGGAATGTAAGTTGGCATGTAGGCGGTGTTAATTTTCTTCATAGTTTTCGCATCAAGGATGAGAAGATAGTTCTTCTCAAGCATGGCGTCGAAAACAGACGACAGAATAACACCGTCATCTTCTTCGGTACCGTCCGGGTTGGGAACAAAACTAGGCTCACTGGCGTAGTGATTCGGGTGATACCAAATTTGATCTTTCCCGGGGGTGCAAATATTCTTTTTTACCAAGGACAGAGAACCATTGACAGGGTTAGACGGATTAAAGTCAAGCGGGACCCCATACACGTAACAATATTGCCTGGCTCGGTAATTTTCGTTGATGATCGGAACTTCAATTTGGTGCATGAAATCCTCCATAGGGTCCATGCTGCGGAAAGCTTTGGTCTCTACCGACTTATTCGCTAGATCTATGGTGTATCGATAAAATCTACTTGCGGCCACACTTTTGTGGAGACTGGATAGATTCCGTAACTCGGGGATCTGGTATTGTGTCAAGATAGAAATGCCCATCTCTGAAGCACAGAGGTCAACTACAAGCTTCCCGTCGTCCGTTTCGTAAGCGTTTGCATGATGGGTAACAAAAATGGCGTCATGTTGGAGATATTCTACCTTCCCAGTTTTGATGTTGGCCACCACTATGTTAGTTTTTTCATCAGGAAACCACTGCATTGATTCGGCCACCTCGACTGTGGTCACCATTTTCTCAACGCTAACAATTGCAGGGTGGGCAAAAAATATAACATAATTCTTCGTTAAACCAAAGCTATGCATGTAAGTCGACTTGTCCGTCTGGAAGTTGGCCATGATCTCAAAAGAAGTGAGATCCTTCATTCTGACTACAAAGTACTGTTGTTTCTCACCCGGTAGCATGCCAGGCTGCAATACGTAGTTAATGCTGTTATTTGTACCGGGTTCTACAATAGGATGGGCGCAGGATTGGACAAAGTGTGACAGAAAATTTACCCCGTTAATCGGAGGTATAGAAACTCCTGTGGAGGCAAGAGTGTCCAGGTCAAACTCAGCGTACACCCATTCGTCAGTCAGCCCGGCGTAGACGCTGTCTTCTCCGTGCCCGAACTTCCACACGTTGACGTCGGTGTTGTCGAAGGGGTAGAACAGGGCTTCCACCTTCTCCATTTCGCTGAACGCAGGGTCTACCCCCAGGAAAGTGAGCGACGGGGCGTACCGACCGGCCTTCTTAGATCTGTCAGAAAGAAAAAGAGGTAAAATTTGAAATAATCATGCCAGGAATACACCTTTTGATATTTGTTACCATAACAATAAACATACAAGTCAAGTCAATCTTTATTGCACAACAATTGTAACGGGTACAATGCATGGCAAACTCTTCAGTACTACATATCTAGCTAACATCTACTCTCACGTCTACAGTATTACCTACAAGTTCTATGTATCGCAAATAACATCATACTATTTCAAAAAGGTAATATAGTACATGTATAAACATATAGCTATGCTGACAGTACTTGTGTAAATTAATGACGACCCGACTTCGGTTGGGGAGGTATAAGGCGAGAGACGGGCTCTGCTTTGCAATACAGTGAGTTATGCTGAGGTCACATTTCCAAACCTGGGCCCGAACAGGCTGTTTGCATGAACGAAAAATTAGCAATTCTTATCAGTAATATACTTAAATAGTACTCGAGTCATTATCTTGTAAACTATTTTTGTGCTTTTGTACTTATATTGTACTTCGTTCCCGAAAGCTGCCCGGCCGGGCACCGGTTTGGAAAAGTGTAATCTCAGCATTAAAACCCTGTGCCTCAAAAACAGACTACCTTGACCGTCGTTTTACCTGTACTATTTTTAGAATAGAATGATATAGTATTTAATTAAGATTAATAATTAAGAGTACTGTGTCCTGCTATTTTAACAAGCACCAGCCTAGTCTCATATCCTTTTGAGGCCATATGAATACATTTTACACCCAATCATAGCCTCCACCAGGCCTTTCGGCAAAGAAGAGTAAAATTGGCCGAGGGAGTCCGGCCGCGGAAGGTTGTTTCTTTCCCTCCGAAGGGCGGCCAGTCAACCCCCAAGGCGGCCAAACTCCCCTGGCAATTATTCTACTATATATGGCCAACGTAGTTAGTCTGGTAGCGCTCTGGTCTGGTAGGAAGGTCTCCCGTGCTCTTACCCGAGCGTAGGGTGGTGCCCATCTCCATTTCGTAGCCCTTGGGCGACACACATTGTGCAAGCCACTACAGTGTGTGAGAAAGAGTGTGGGAAGGTCAAACACACACCACTACAGCAGGGGGCTGGTCCGCTGGTAGTGCTGTGTGTGTTGACCTTCCCACACTCTCATATGTGCTGAGTGCTAAGCAGAGAAAGAAGTGTGTACCATTTTTAAAGTCTTTGGTATGACCCGGCCGGGGTTTGAACTCACGACCTCCCGGTTACAAAGCGAGCACTATACCAATTGAGCTATTGCACCGGTCTGGTAGAGACTAACCCAAATCCCACGACAACTTACCTAGTGTAGGAACTGGATTCTAGGAAGGCGGAGGAGAAGTTCAGGCCTTGTTGACCGATGGCTATGCTGTGCATCTTGGCAAAACCATCAAAAACATGGACGACCGAACGACCACCAAGTTCAAACATAGCGGGGGCATTCCGAACCTGAGACACAGGGAAACAAAGCAGAGTTTAGCTGTCTCCAAGCCACAGTGACGACACCAATAATACAAAATCTTACCCGTACCTCTATAAAGACACCATAAAGAATATGAAATTGCGGATAACCAAGTAAAGCAGTTCTAATAGATCTGTTAAACTCTCACAGTTGTTTAGAAAGCATCTGAATTTTGCCATATTTCAAGATGGTACGAAGTAAAATTGTAAAAAAAAAACGTTATAGATTGTACAAAAAAAAACGTTATGAAGATTGTTTTTCACGTCCAGACATATTACAGACTAGTACTCAAATTGTTCCTTTCATAGCAACGCTCGAAATGAGTTAACTATTCAAACTTCTACAATTTATCGCAATTTTACTACATTTACAGACAAAGGAAAAACTATTCTTCTTTTAACTTCCCAAAACCCACTAATTTTGGAAAAGGTGGGACATTACGTCTTCCATGGTCTAAAAAAGAGAAGTCAAACCCCGGACATAGTTTTAGACATAGCTATAGCTCTAGACAACTACCTTTCATCATGTAGATTTTAGTTGTTCTATACTACGTTTCATTGTTCTTTTATGTTTGTAATTTGCAATTAGCCCCCCGGGCACGAATTTGCAATAAACTTCTCAATATATAAAATTCAAACTCTATTCCTGGATAAATTATGGAGAAAAAGTATTAGTCATCATCATCATCATGCCTCCGGATTAGTTTATACTAATCCGGTGATGTACACTTGATTAAGTTACTCCAGTATGTCCTATCTCTCATAGCGGACACTAATGCAGGCCCTGCGAGACCAGTGTCTCTCTCTAGCATGGACAAAAGTGTAGTATAAGGACGTCCCACTCTACGTCTCCCAGTAGGGAGCCACTGTACTAGTCTACCAGCTGGTTCGTTACTACGAACAACATGCCCTGCCAGGGCGAGTCTACGTCGTCGGACTACAGACGAAATGGGCAGGAGAGAGCCATAGAGTTGTTTGTTTGTTAGATGTTGTCTCCATGATACATTATACACTGTTCTTAACATTCTTGTATATGTACCATCTAGTTTCTTGCTCTGGGCAGCATTCATAGCCCATGACTCAGAGCTGTAGAGTATTAGTGTTACTAATAAATCTCAAGGTGAAGGCCAATGATAACATTTTCTACTCACCAGGGTTCCTTCCAGCCATTTGGGCACGGCGTCGCTGGAGTCGTACTTCATCGGGACATGTTGTAGCTCCTTCACATTTGTCCGGAAAAGGTTGAGCACCCCGTCGGGAGCCGACGCGACTCCCCCCGACAGCGTCACGACAAGAAGCAGACACACATGGGTGGCGTGAAACTCCATGACTGAAGTCTTCCACACTGCAGAAAGAAATGAGACCATATGAGACCACCTGATGAACTTTTGCACTCGCATTTTTCTGTTTCACGTCACCTCTTCGTAAGAATTCGATTTTTTTCTATCTTTAGATTTGATTGGTCAATTCAGTCGGTCACTAACCTTTGGCGATCGCCTTAAAAACTGACACGCGCTACTGTATTGTGAACTTTGACCATTATATAATACGTAACCATTGGTACGTGCTCAGGTCATTGGTACGAGAGGCTAGGTCACTCATAGTTCACTAAGATCTATGTCAACATGTATAATTAATTAATTGACCAAGGAGGTAAGGGACGAAACTTATACATCTTTAGTTAGACCCAAGCTTGAATATGGCTCAGTGGTATGGGACCCAAGGAGACGCCAATATGACAGTTCTAATGTATTAGAAGATAAGATTGAATCTGTGCAAAGAAGAGCTATCAGAAATGTCTTTAATGACTACAGGAACTCTACCAGTGTCACCCAGCTGAAAAACTAACTCGGTTGGCCAACCTTACAACAGAGAAAGAAGCAGGCACGTCTGGCATTATTCTACAAACCATTCATAATCTGGTAGCTATGCCCACCCAGGATTACATCACGAACACACTTACTCAACAAGGGGGCACCCCCTTCTATACAACGGCCGATGCATCGACGCGAGAAGTTTCTGTCGGGCGGACAACCGTCGGACCAAGAGGTCATTTACCTCCAGCTTTTTCCCCAGAACGATTCCGGAATGGAATGCACTACCTCAACACATTGTCCATGGGCTACTCTAATTCCCAAATACTTAACCCAAAGCTAGCTATAGAGTACAAGCTTTCTCCGTGAATTGAAGTGACCTAGTCTGTTGTTACGTACACAGCCTTTTATACCGGGTGTACAGATAGAACACATTAAGTTGGACCTACCGTTTTTTCTTCGACTGTACTACTCCATTCTTTGTCAAGTTACCAGATACCTATACCAGGCAATCTTACAAGCAGAAAACTGCTTCGTCATGCCTGTTTTCTTGGTGATTAAAAAACATGACTGGACACGAGCGCTTGGCCGATAGGAACTAGAAAATGAATTATGATAAGCTAAGAGCCACGTATATAGAACTAAACTAATAAACGTACCACAGTCAGTGTGAAAGTCTACAGAGAACAACTGAAATATTTTTGTGCGATTGCTCAACGTTTTTCGATAGGAAATACCGAAGACATTTGTAACGGACAAAGTAATAAGATAATACAGACGGCCGTTGAGATGTAAATCTATAATTTCAGAAGCCATTTTGTATCGCCCAAGGTTACTAGTATCAAAGTTTAAGGCCGATCATGGCGTCCCAGCATTAGTATTCCCGATAAGGCCACAGCAAGTAATTTTTATGGATGACATCAGCGCGCGCATTAATTTTCGCCTGATTTTGGAAAAAAAACAAGAAATTTTGTTGCCTTCTGACAGTGGTCACCATGCCGAATATAGGCCAAGATGTCTGTTGCCATGTCGGAAGGTGGATGGCAGATAACTATAAAGAGAGGAGACAAGAAAAGGCTCTGATTTGTTTTGTTTCTTACTTTGATGCAGTGATATATGATGGTGGCTGTGTATATGTGATGTTCCCATTGAATCAAAACGATTGTACAATGATTGAGTCAAAATTTCAAAATGTAAGAACCTTGTTTTTTTTTGGCCCGCCTTGTTTTTTTTCGCCCGCTCGCATTAGATTTGGAATCTGTGGAGGATGTCATCCATAAGATTTACTTGCTGTGGCCTAATGAAGTAACAAAGTATCCAAGTAACCTTCTACGAGGCTACTGGTTTCCAGAGGGTGGAAGACTGAGTGGTTTGGGAGTTAGGGACCGCATTCGTCCATGAACTAGTTCTCAAAACCGTTTTGGTCAAATAATAACTAGTTTGGAGTTACATGTACAGAGGGCGGACCCTGATAAAGTCCATAAGGCCTAGGAAAGTCAATGGTGTGTTTCCGATTACGGTCCTGAAAACATTGTATTCTTTTTTATTCGTATATATTGGCAAATGCTAAAATGCTATGAAATGAGGGCAACAAGTGAATTCTACTACGTTTTCATCATTTAGATGTCAGATCAGAAACTAAGTCTAGATTTTAAGCTTCTTGGTCCCTTAAATTAAAAGCTACCGACGAAAAAAGGCAGGTATTTTTTTTTTTTAAATTCTAACATGTAATCACCAGACGTGGTGATCATGACGTCACACTCAAGTTTTTCAACTTATATCAATGCCGCTACCAACACAGGGGACAAATACATGACAGGACAATACTCATTTTCACCTGAGCGAAGTGAGGAAAGTCGTGTAAAGTGCCTTTCCCAAGGGCACAAGGTCGGTGGTATGTCAGGACTCGAACCCGGGACCTCTAGGTTAGAAGTCGGTCCCTCTGCCGCTACACCACACGACCCAGGTATTTTCTAGGGTACGGTAGGGTAACCGCAAAACACAACTTATTTTTTGAGCTCATCTGTGTTGGTAGAGGTCATTGAACCAATTTAAGATCTTATATAATGTCCTTGACTACAATCGTTCAGCAACCTATAATCCACGCTGGGTCACGTGTGTCATTTGCATAACGTGACGTCACAGAAGCGGCGCACTGCTCATTCCTTGACAAATACTTGAGTTGTACAGTCGGAAAATTTGGGTAAGTCCAATTTCTTGAGTTGGAAATTCAAAATACTAATATTTCCAAGGCCTAATCAAACTACCACTAAGTTGACTAAGAATGCAACAAGCGTTACGCTGTTACTTCAGGCTACTTACTGCAAGTGTGGGTTTGCTAGTTCATTATTAAACCCCTTATTTGACCATTACTTCTCTCTGGACTACAGAAGAATTCAGACATGGCGTTTTACCCGGTCCACGTGTGTTTTTTCATCCTTCTGTCGACGACGGCGATCTTAGCTGCGACACCCAACAACGTTATGGACCTCTTCACGACAAACCTACACGAATTCCAACACGTCCCGATGAAGTACGACTCTAAAAACCCCATCCCGAAATGGTTGGAAGGAACTCTGGTGAGTAGAATATGCCATTTAACGTCCAATGCTGTTGGGTTTCTTTCCAATTAAAAAAAGAGATCATCTAAATAAACTATAAATATGTTTTCGACTTGCCGACGGAAAAGGATTACCCGTATAACTTAACTCTTAGATCCGCTGGGGAAGACGGATGCCCAAGTGTGCAAGTAGGTCTCAGATATCGATTCGCAACCTGTTATCCACCTTAAACAAATCCACGCGAAGGCCACCGTGTCAACTGTGACCCTCACTCAGGTGTAGGGACTGACACGGTCATCCTACTCGGAAAATCTGTATATCTGTACATGAATCTGTATCTGTGCATGGATATGTATCTGTACGTGAATCTGTATCTGACTGCAAATAAAGATATCGAGTGATTGCCATAGATAGATCCAGTTCATACCATGGCCAATAATAAAACTTCACAAACACCATAGCATGGTCTTTACCCTAGCCTCGACTTTGCCCTTGTTTTTCACTAGGTCCGAAATGCCCCCGCGATGTTCGAGCTTGGTGGCCGTTCAGCCATCCACGTCTTTGATGGCTTTGCCAAGATTCACAGCGTAGAGATAGGACAACAGGCCATCAGCTTCTCATCTGCCTTTCTGCAAACCAGTGCATACACGAGGTTGGTAGTTTATGTAGATTTTCTTGGTACTATAGCTAAATGAAATACTAGTACATTCTGACCAGGCGTAAAGCAAATAAGATCGTAGTTTGATCGTAAGTTCATACAGTATTATTTTCCGTCATTTTTATAAAGGGTGGCCCATTAAGTGATTGCACTTGTTTTCAATGGGGCCCTGTTTTACATAACAAAACACAACAGTCACATACAAACAGTAAAATTGGGATACAATAAGTAATGATGATGATAATAAATGATAATGAATGATAATACAACGCAAATTCACTCCCTGAATATCGTTTTGCGATGCGACAGCTAGGATCGATTCAACGTCTTATGTAAAGAAATGACTAGAAAAGCTGACTCAGAACTTGCACCACTCGTGTGAACCATTCGCACATTGAGCTTAGTACCTTTAAACATGTTTACAGGGCGTCTATAGCAAACATTACCGCCTCTTTCACTTGTTATCAGATCTAAAAAGGCCAACCTCTACGCACCGTCCATCACTTTCTTCGGTGTCGACCCAGCGTTCAGCACCATTGAAAAGTTGGAGGCCTTCAGGTATCCCTACGACAACACCGACGTGAACGTATGGAAGTATGGGCAGGGGAACAACAGCGTGTACGCTGCCCTCACCGACGCTTGGGTGTACGCTGAGTTTGACCTAGACAGTCTGGCCTCAAAAGGAGTAGATATTCCTGAAGTTAGTGGCGTGCATTGGTCCCGTCTTGTCCAATCCTGTGCCCACCCTATTGTAGAACCGAACACTACTAACAGTATTAACTACTTAATGTTCCCTAGCTTGATACCCGGTCAGAAGCAGCAGTACTATGTACTAAGAATCAAGGACCTTGGCGATTTCGAAATTTTGGCCAACTTTCAGTCAGACAAGGCATCGTACATGCATAGTTTTGCTGTAACTAAAAACTACGCTGTGTTTTTTGTTCAGCCCGCATATTTCGACTTTGTCAAAATGGTTGGGTCAGCTATGGTGGGGGATGCCATGGGGTGGTTCCCAGATGAAAAGACACAAGTTATGGTGGTCAACCTCAAAACGGGAAAGGTAGAAACAGTGGAAACCGACCCCATCTTTTACACGCACCACGCGAACGCTTACGAAACGCCTGACGGTAAAATCGTGGCCGATGTCTGTCAGTTCGAGGACGGGGTGTCCATTTTTGCTGACTATAAGCTCCCTATGTTACGAAATCTCACCACTCTGCACCAAAGGCCGTCCAGATCTAGGCTTTATCGTTACACCATCGACTTAGCAAACAAGTCGGTTCAAACTAAAACTTTCCGCAGTGACGACCCCCTACAAGACTACCTTCACACAATCGACGTCCCGATTATTAACGAAAACTACCGAGGCCGCCACTATTGCTACCTCTACGGCGTCGTTTTCGACTTTTCCCCGTCCAACGCTCTGAACGGCTCGTTCGCCCTGGTGAAAAAGAACCTGTGCACCCCCGGGAAAGATCTCTTTTGGTACAAACCGAACCATTACGTCAGCGAGCCGAGCGTCGTTCCGAATCCCGAGGGGAAAGACGAAGATGACGCCGTCGTCCTCTCGGCTGTTTTCGACGCCGTTCTCGGCAAAAGCTACCTCCTCATTTTGGACGCTAAAACCATAAAACCTATCAACACTGCTTACATGCCGACATACATTCCGTTTGGCTTCCACGGCAAATACTTTCCTAAAAATTAGATCGCCTCTTTTGGATCATTTTCCTCCAAATGTTTCATGATTTCTTTTGAGATTCTTATATTCATACTCGTAAATTTCGCACGATTGGCCATTTTTTTTTTGCAAAATAAAAAAAAAATACATTCCAAATAATTTTCCCGCGGAAAAGTTGGATCTCTTCTATGAAGGGCTAGACAAAGAGTTAGGAGGAGGGGGGCCCCTAGCCAGTTAACTATCTAGGATGTGTTCCAGCTTCACTATATTGTTGCAAATTAGCTTTCTGCTTAGTTTTGTTTTCATTATTTTACTTCATAAAGTTAATCAAGCCGTTGTTTTAGCAAATGTCCTTGTAGATAATGTGTATAGATTGATAGGATAGGGGCAATGTACACAAAAATTCCGATAATGCCAGTTTGACAAATCATGTTTATTTAGATCCAAGTCACTGACCTCTGTTATCTATCAATGTTTAAGTCTTACGAGACAAAATGGTTAAACGGTCCACAACGATAACAAAAGGTCATTGACCGGTCTTCAGAACATCAGCGACACAAGTATCCCACGCATAATTATTTAAACGTTATTCTAGCGCTTTAGATATGGTTGAATAAAGATATTGTTTCAACGAACACGTACCGTCTTTTGTGTTTCCTTAGCTTGTTCTTAATTGTTACAATGAATGAATGAATGAATGAATGAATGAATGAATGAATGAATGAATGAATGAATGAATGAATGAATGGATGGATGGATGGATGGATGGATGGATGGATGGATGAATGAATGAATGAATGAATGAATGAATGAATGAATGAATGAATGAATGAATGAATGAATGAATGAATGAATGAATGAATGAATGAATGAATGAATGAATGAATGAATGAATGAATGAATGAATGAATGAATGAAGACCTTTATTGTACACACATACCCACTGGTTTAAGCACAGGTCAAAACAAACGAATGGAATACAGGTAACGTTACATATATACATCGTCAAGTAGCTACAATTAAGTAAATTCGGTTTCTTCTCCTTTCTTAGTAATGGCAAAAAAGTAAGAACAAGTATGGTTTAATATAGAAGGTTTGTCTACGTTCATTAGGGATATACATTTACTCGTATCTAGATCTGTACAGCTTAGATGTATGAAGAAGGGGAACATTGGCACCATATATCGGTGATTTTAGCCAACAAGTTATTCTTTAAAATGGTTTTAAGATGTATGAAGAGTTCGGCCTCAAGGCTGCCATGACTTTCAAACATGTAACTTTAAATTATATGAAGGGATTCGGGGAATAAACCGGTCCACTACATGTCTAGCCTCTACCAGGCTCCGAGAGGCGGCAAACTATAGTCTCTAGCTGACCAACCTCCCCTGAAATGTTATCTCTATATTTGGCCTATTTCTACTCTTTTCAGTCGCCTCCCGAAGCCTGGTAGAGGCATGCTCACAATCCACGAAAACATGTATAAAAACAGATCTATGCATTATATAACGTGGTACGAATGACCTGTAGATATTAACCAAGGAGTGCCAAGGAGTGACCTAGATTAGATTTTTCCCCCCAGAAAATGTCGTTATTGTTAGCTGAATCCAGTGTGTCCACGTGTTCTCCGGTCCTAGATCCTGTGCCTGCATTACGGACAGTCTACATATCCACAATCCACGAAAACATGCCCATGCCTTATACAACGTGGTGCGACCTGGGGGCATTAAGCTGTGTGCTAATAAGGAATAGCCTAGATTTTTTTCCCAGAAAATGTCGTTATCATTAGCTGAATCCACATTGTACCCACGTGTTCTCCCGTGCTGAGCCTACATTACGGGCAGTCTTCTACATGTCCACAATCCAAGCAAACGTGTGTTTAAAACATACCAATTCATTATACAACGTGGTACGACCTGGGGGCATTAAGCTGTGTGCTAAGGAATAGCCTAGATTTTTTCCCCAGAAAATGTCGTTATTGTTAGCTGAATGCACATTGTATACCCACGTGTTCTCCCGTGCTGAACCTACATTACGGGTAGTCTTCCAATGTACATGTCCACAATCCACGCAAACGTGTGTTTAAAACATACCAATGCATTATATAACGTGGTGCGACCTGGGGGCATTAAGCTGTGTGCTAATAAGGAATAGCCTAGATTTTTTTTCCCAGAAAACGTCGTTATCATTAGCTGAGTCCACATTGTACCCACGTGTTCTCCCGTCCTGAACCTACATTACGGGCAGTCTTCTACATATCCACAATCCACGCAAACATGTGTTTAAAACATACCAATGCATTATAGAAGAAATTTATTGCACGACAATTGCACAAGGTACAATGTATGGCAAACTTACATAAAGAGAGTAGAAAACAATAAAAATAAATATTGTATAAGACCTAATGTCGAATAAAACTAACATATCTCAATTATTCAAACAGTAAGGGCTAGCACAAGTCTTTGATAAAGTGTTACAATCGAGTGGGCTAATCACAAGTTTCGACATTTTTTCTCATAACAAAGCATTCCTTTATGTATCCACCTATTTTTGCGTTATGGGAACCATTACATGTAAAGATATATCCAAATCTATTATATAACGTGGTACGAACGACCTGGGGGCATTAACCTGTGTGTCAAGGAGTGACCTAAATTTTTTTCCGAGAAAATGTCGTCTAGTATTAGCTGAGTCCACATTGTACCCACGTGTTCTCCCGTGCTGAGCCTACATTACGGGCAGTGTGTGGGCATGTCCGGGGCGTGATGGAATAAAGTCCACGACCTTCGGGACTGTTCAGGGGAGTGGCTACGTAAGGCTCCGTAAGAACTTTGAAACGGCCGATGGCACAACTTACTGCGTAACACAATCACAACAACATAATTGTTGTTTATTAAGAACCCTGAAAACTACAAAGGTATTGATAGCAGCAGGATAACAGAAGACAACAAGCTTTAAGCTTTGCTCAAATTTTGGCGATTAGAAGAGAAATAAGCACAAAGCTGTACAGATTATTAGTAGTTGATGCATATCCATGTAGCAATAGTATTGATAATGCATAAGAAAATTTGGAAACAACCCAGTGTGTATGATTATTACAATTGCTATGGTTGCTATCATGATCTTTACTGAAGTACGTTTCTAACACGAATTGTCTGATAGTGCCTGATTGATAAAAATAGAAGCCTATTGCAGAGAAAATCCGATAGAGGGCGCTTCAGACAGGTAAGCCTGTATGGGAATATTCACATGTCCGGATACCTACAAGACAGGCCAGGCCGATACATAATTTGTTTTTGAGCTAAAGCATGGAATCAAGAATATACAAAGAAGCTAAAGGACCCATAGCATTTTCATTGCCACATACACATGTATATGTCTTGTGAACAGATTTTGCAGTTTATTCAGTAATTATAAACTCTTGACTAAAGTTTTGCTTTTCTATTGAAGATAGTACGTACATTTGAACGTACACATGTGTATCATGGACACACAAGAAAGATGTTGTCTATTAAGAAAATGAATGAAATAAATAAACAAGAATTCGGAGATCTCATACCTCCATGAAATATATGAGTTTTTCTAAATGTTTTACACAGTACACTACACTACAGAAACAAAATAACACCGGTTTTTGGTTTCAAACACACAATAGCACCTTTGGCCTGGATATGGTCATGTAGACTTTTCCCGAGGAAGAACCTCATTAATCAAACCGGGCAGGCGCTGCCTCCACCCCGCACATCTGTTTTCCCTGCCACCCCGCACATCTGTTTTCCCGGAGGTTCTGCTGCAGTACCAAGGTCAGCCAACAGGAGGCCCATATTTGACCTTGACCTTTGGCTTCTTAAGACCCACCAGCATACCAAATATCATCACAATCCATAAAGTCGTTCTGAGGGTTATGCTGACTACAAATGTGCGGAAACACACACACACACACACACACACACACACACACACACACACACACACACACACAGACGCACCAAAATCAATACCTCCATTTTTCATGGAGGTAATGAATCCTGTAGACTAACAAAGTGACGATTTCAGATAAGTAGCACTTCTGTTGTTTGTTGAAGTAAGTCAATGACCTCACAGTCATCTGACGGGTCACGTTATGTTTGCTTTTTTCCAGGGTTAAAAGTGATGCAAACACGTTAACGTTAAAATATTTGTTATTGTCTTCAACGCAAATTTTGTTGGATCCTACTTAAACAGAATCGATAACCTCTACCAGTTTGCGGAAGCACCAAAGAGTAGGAATCGGCCAAACAGATAGATAACATGGCAGGGTAGTTGGTCCTTAGTTGGTCCGCTAAGGGCCAACTTATTATCTATTTCACAAAATTCTACAATTTCCCGATCGACGTTTCTGAAGCGGCTACATCACATCTTACTATAAGACCACACAAGTAATGAAATATCCGTTACTAGCAAGTAAACTATGTACGTTGTGTTTACCGTCCTTAGGCCACAGCAAGTAAATTTTATGGATGACATCCTCCGCAGACTCCAAATCTAATGCGAGCGGGCGAAAAAAAAACAAGGCGGGCCGAAAAAAACGAGGTTCCTACATTTTGAAATTTTGACTCAATCATTGTACAAATGGTTTTGATTCAGTGGGAACATCACATATACACAGCCAACATCACATATCATTGCATCAAAGTAAGAAACAAAACATAAAATCAGAGCCTTGTCTTGTCTCCTCTCTTTATAGTTATCTGCCATCCACCTTCCGGCATGGCAACAGACATCTTCGCCAATTTTCGGCATGGTGACCACTGTCAGAAGGCAACAAAATTTCTTGTTTTTTTTTTCCAAAATCAGGCGAAAATCAATGCGCGCGCTGATGTCATCCATAAAAATTACTTGCTGTGGCCTTACTAGCAAGTAAACTATGTACGTTGTGTTTACTGTCCTTATCTATCTATTTTTGTTAGACAGGGTGGTCCATCTCAGTGGCACGGAACTTCTTTACACTAGTATAACCATATGGAAAATATACATTACATAGGCCATACATGTATGTACATACATTGCATATTATAACAATTCAAATAGATACAGAAGTCACATGCTGAGATCGAGATTAAACTCTTTACATAAAAATACGTCCAGTCAAACACTCCATTTTTTTACTCATTACATGTACATTGTCCTTGTACTTTGTTAATGCTAATAAAACATATAAACAATTGTTAATATACACAAGGCTAGACTACAGTCCATATCTATAATCCATATCCTAGTCCGTAGTTGCAAAGTGTGGGGCCGTGTGGCGTAGCGGCAGAGTGCGCGACTCGGAACCCAGAGGTCTCGGGTTCGAGTCCTGACATGCCACCGATCTTGTGCCCTTGGGAAAGGCACTTTACACGATTTTCCTCACTTCGCTCAGGTGGAGATGAGTATTGTCCTGTCATGTATTTGTCCCCTGTGTTGGTGGCGGCATTAATATAAGTTGAAAAAACTTGTGTGCCGTCACCACGTCTGGTGATTACATGTTGGAATATTAAAAAAAACACTCTACCCACTAGGCCTATTGCACGGGTGCATCAATGTTTATTGATGCACGTAGGGAGTGATTGACAGAAGCAGAACGCTGAAGTGTTTGATTCCAAAGTCTTCGGCAGCCTGGAGTTGTTTTCCTCCTTGATGTTAAAACAACACCTACCAATTAAAGGCAAACACTTAACGTACGTCCATATGGATCCACAACTTCAAGCATGTATGGAGTACATGTAGCCAGGTAAATACTGACGAGTATCAGGCATCAACAAGAATTCGGAGATCTCATGCCTCCATGAAATATACGAGTTTTTCTAAACGTTTTTACACAGCACACTACACTACAGAACAAAATAACACAGGTTTCTGGTTTCAAACACACAGTAGCACCTTTGGCCTAGAATGCTAGATATGGTCATGTAGGCTTTTCCCGAGGGAGAACCTCAATAATCAAACCGGACAGGCGCTGCCTCCACCCCGCACATCTGTTTTCCCTGCCACCCCGCACATCTGTTTTCCCGGAGGTTCTGCTGCAGTACCAAGGTCAGCCACCAGGAGGCCAATATTTGACCTTGACCTTTGGCTTCCTAAGACCTACCAGCATACCAAATATCATCACAATCCATAAAGGCGTTCTGAAGTTATGCTGACTACAAATGTGCGGAAACACACACACACACACACATACACACACACAGACGCGCCAAAAACAATATAATATAATATAATACCTCCATTTTTCATGGAAGTAACTATGGTCCCATTGCGCATTGGCTTCGTGTTACCACGATTGTACTAATTTTGGAAACTTTACAACTTAATAGATTAAGACAGATTACTCTTAAGTTATTTGACCTTTGAGCACATTATTGTATGCGGTCCAAAAACACATCAACTTTTCCATACACCCGAAGGCCAGTTAATGTTTTTTCGTTACCTCATTGGCGTTCATATTCAAACAACAAAATCTGTAGGAAAAAAAAACAAATACAATGCACTTTCGTAAACATATATACTCGCGGTCATATATGTCATAAACTTTATAGCACAACAATTGTAGCAGGTACAATGTATGGCAGCTAATAAGATTACTAGCTATATGGGTCTATCAAAATTCTACATATAGGTACTATGTATGTCTGGTAAAATGTTGAATAGAACCACTAACTAGTACACCTCTACAAGTACGTGCTAAGCTACGCTATACTATATTTATAAAGGGTACAATGAGCAGTTGTATATACTATACAGGTTCTACGAGTGCTAAACAGAATGTCGACTAAATTACTGCCTAAGATCTGTTTTAATTCCACATTTAGGTGCTAAGATACGCTATACGATATAATGTTAGGCTACATAACTTCCTTTGGTGTAAATCTACACAAAGGTCAATGCCCGACAATGGCCCCTTGGATACGTTATTAGGATTATAGATAGAACTTTATTGCACGACAATTGCACATGGTACAATGTATGGCAAACTACTAGAGTAACAACAATAAAATAAGTGTGTTGAATAAGACCTACTGTCGAATAAAACCTAACATATCTATATCATAATTATTCAAATAATAAAGGGATAGCACAAGTCTTTGATAAAGTGTTACAATCGAGTGGGCTAATCACAAGTTTCCGTATTTTTTCTAATAGCAAAGCATTCCTTTATATATATACCTATTTTTGCGTTGTCCTGCAGTCATCAAACAAGGCTTTCGGGAAAACAAGTTTCTGTTACTGGGTAACCGCGAACAGCCAGGAGAATGGTGACGGCAAAAGGCTCCGCTACCCGGACTTAATTGCATTAACAGATGTGTAGAGTCTTCCTAAATATAAAACTGACATAAAACTGATATAAAAAAAGGATATCATAGTTTACATATCATCATGTAAGTGAATGAGGATAATCATTTATAGAATGGAGTAACATTTAAGCACCTGTCCCTAGTACTTGAGGTTGTACTCTAAGTACTCGTAAGTACACAGAGTGCTAGACCAACGTATTGTAGTTGGGTGAATTAGATGTACATGGTATATATATACTAACTTTCATATCTTGACATAAATGTTCAACACTACTGTACATAAGAGGGAAGAGGGACTTAAACCCACGATTCTTGTAACTTTCCTCGTAAGGCCATGTTGATTTGATTATATGGATGACATCCTCCGGGAGCCCCAAAACTGATGCGCGCGTGCGAATAAAAAAAAGTTTTGGACAAAAAAAAAAGTTGTTTTCATTATGAAATCTACGTGGTAATGAGGGTTGAACAAATGGGACAGAATATGGTTTGGGGAATGATCTAGTCTTCAAGTTCATTTCTTTACAATTTCGTCTTTTTTCGTTTGATTTTGGCATTCTACGACATTGGTACATTGGCATTCTGCGACATTGGACTTACGGTATATTTTTGCTAATTTTGCAACTGTTTTGTACGATTTACAGTATGGTTGAAAACTTTTTTTTAAACGGCCGAAAATTCATGCGCGCGCGGATGTCATCCATATAATCAAATCAACATGGCCTGACCAAATGAATGGCTAGATTCAACTTTCAAGTAGAAAGATAACGTCCCCAGTTACAGTCAGAAATCTCCTGGGAAGAAACGCCCGTGGATAGCAAACGGTATGTAAGTCTTGGCGTAGGCATAGTTGATGATTTTTAGGGTCTGCGCGTCGAGTATCAACAGATAGCTTTCCTTTCGTTCTCCGTCGAGTACGGTGGTGACGAGAACACCCTGGTCTTCTGCCTTTGCGTTAGGTTCGGGGATGAAGTACGGTTCGTTCGGGTAGTGGTTAGGGAGGTACCAGTACTTATCGCTTCTGCCGTTGTTGCAAAGATCCTTTTTAACGATGGCAAAGTTGTCGTGGACTGTCGGAGTCTGTTCGTCAAAGGAAAACACTACTCCGTACACGTAACAGTAGTTACCACTTCGGTGATTTTCGTTAATCACCGGAAGCTCCATTCGGTTCACGAAGTTCATGTCGGGTGTTTTCGGAGGGAACTCGGAGACGCCGACGCTGGATGTCTTCGTGTTGAGTGTGAAGCGCTTCAGCAATGCCCGGTTGACGAGAAGGCTCCTCTTCTTTTCGTCTAGCATCGTGGCAAGTTCGAACTGGTAAAGCATGGAGTTGTCCGGGTAGGTTATGATATCAACGACTATGTCGTCACCCTGCTCAAAAGCGTTAACGTGATGCACAGCGAAGAAACCCGGTGTCATCAACTCTGACACTTTCCCGTCTTTAAGAGAAATAACCAGAAACTTGGTCTCATCCTTGCCCTCCCACTCAAGACACTTTCCTGCCTCAGCCGAGTTCAGCATTTTTGGTACGCTGATGTAGAGTGGATATAGAGACACAATGGCGTGGTTCTCAGTGATAGAGAAGCTATGCATATAAGACATCTTCTCTAACTTAACGTTTGCAATGATCTCTTGTGTGGATGTGTCTTTCATTCTGTATAGTGTCAGGGTGTGTTTTAGTCCCGGTACAATGTTCACTGTGTAGACCAAGTTGATAGTATGTCCAGTTTTAGGCTCGTAGAGAGGGTGGGCCGTCGACATCAATGAGAGAAGGTTGATGATTGGATGAGTGATGTCAGGTTTGACCAGACTGATGGTGCTCAGCGTACCAACGTCGAACTTAGAAAAGACGGCCGCATCGGTGAGACCAATAAACTCAGCGTTTCGCCCCGATCCTATCTTCCAGATGTTAGCGTTGGTGTTGTCGATGCCGTACACGAGGGCCTCGGCCCGTTCTTCGAAGGTAAACGCGGGGTTCACCCCGTCAAATGTGAGGGACGTGGCGTAGTCGTTCTCGGCTATAGACCGTGTGTAGGTTGACGTGCCTAAGAACGAAGCGGAGAAGTGAATCTGGGTGCCGTTGTGGATCTTGAACGAGTGAAGCTTGGCGAAACCGTCAAACGTGTGGATGACGCTCCGCTGGCCGATGTTAAAGCGACCGGGACCATTCCGTACCTGTGGAAAACATAAGTGAAAAATAGTATAAATGGTTTATTTGCACATTGACATAAATCTAAAACAACATTTCAGCCTAACAATACAATGCATTGTACAAAAAGCTCAATTACGTAAATATCATAAAATATCATTAGTCAAATCTAATTGGTTAAAAATGCAGAAAGTATAATAATTATTTTATTTAGATTTCGATGGGCCCAAAGATATGAACATACATTAGAGTAAATGTCGTCGAGAATAACTCTCTGTATATACCTACAGAAAGAGCCATTTTAAAGCACTACTTAGATATTTCAAATAAGCAAACATGTTGATGCCATATATTTTTACATCAATGTCTACCACACAAGCAAAGTCTTTTAAGCACTCAAGATGTGTCAAAGTCAGACATAGATGTGAGATCCTTTTTACACCAAATTTCATCTTTACATCCTTAATGCCCTTTTGTCTCGATAAGGCCATGTTGATTTGATTATATGGATGACATCCGCGCGCGCATGAATTTTCGGCCATTTCCAAAAAAAAAGTTTTCAACCATACTGTAAATCGTGCAAAACAGTTGCTAAATGAGCAAAAATGTACCATAAGTTGCAAGGAAAACATTTAGAAACGATACCAATGTCGTAGAATGCCAAAATCAAAGGAAAAAAGACAAAATGTAAGAAAATGAATTCGAAGAGTAGATTATTCGCCATAACATATTCTGTGCCATTTGTTCAACCTTCATGATCACGTAGATTTCATAGTGAAAGCAACTTTTTTTTTGCAAAACTTTTTTTTATTCGCACGCGCGCATCAGTTTTGGGGCTCCCGGAGGATGTCATCCATATAATCAAATCAACATGGCCTAAAGGAACTTAAAACATCAATTTGACGTCTTTGGACAGGAATGTCACATTTAGAAAGGAAACAAAGAGCATCCCGTGTCTAACTAAGGACCTGCGCAATCATTCAAACCAAACATTCTGATTGATTAATTGGGTTGGCCCGACTACCGTACTAACTGTGTGTTGACTAAATGTGTTACACAACTTGATAAGCGGAGAAAAGTCAACATTTGCTCGACTGCGACGACGATGTCTCCCGCTGATTTCAGAGACCACTGGCAGACAGTGAGTTGTTTGTTAGGCCACACGAAGTAACTTTTATGGATGACGTCCGCGCGCGCATTGATTTTGACCTGCTCCCAGGAAAAAAAAACAAGAAATTCTGCTTCCTGTAACTATGACCAAAGAGTCACGACAGTGGGGTAAGGGAAGATGTGATGGAAAGAATGAAACAGGACAGGACAACAACTGCCTTTCACCTGATTTATTGCTGTTTTCATGACGAATAAAAGACGTCTTGGTTGTTACACTGCGTTCTCTTATTAAATTTGCGTCCTAACATTTGTCTTTCCTTAATAGTATATTTTAAATCCAGGCATCTTGCTTTTATTCGGCCCCTGTTTTTTTCCGCGCTCTCGCATTAGATGTAGTCATTGGTTTATTGAAAAGAGCAATGAACATATCAGACTTGCAGTAAAAACTGAATTGTGCTGATATTTACAACTTATAGGATTATACAATACTAGTAGATATAAAAGAGAAACTTACACTTGTAATATTCTAAATTTATAAAAACCATCGTCGTCAACATATTATTATAGCAATATTATTAAAACAATATAATTTCTCACGAGTATAAAATCACTACTGTCATTCTACATTAAAATGACTGAAAGTCTTTGAAGTTAGTCTGGTACGAGCGCTAAGGATATGTACAGTTGGCGGTAATAATTCGATTTGGCACAATAAACAATCAATAGTACTGAGATTTAGGGTCTTCAGACGACGTCATCCATACAAATTACTTGTTGTGGCCTTATCTAGATCTGAATAAAGGTCCCATGTTGCCGAGTCAGGCCCAGTATTTGTTGGTATTTCCTATAGAAAAGCGTTTCCGCCCGAGTATAGATAAAGTGACTTTAATACTTTGTTGTGTCGCTAATGTGATGTATACAGACTTAATCACCAGGAAATTAGAACAACTCAGGATTTTAACACCCTAGGGGGTAATAACACAGAGATATCTTTCCGAAGTGTTTTTCTTCGCCTTATTAATCAGGTGATAAAAACCTCATGTTGTTTTCACTAATATGATTCGCGTTTATAAAAAATGAATGATTACACGTTTTAACAGATTCATTTTTGAGATATAACAAAATTGACGGGAGGCATACAAAATTACTTGTCATTTAACATGTACCCCCTTAAACATTTCTTGATAAATTTCTGAAGTGTGATGGAAGCTATACGTTTTGAAAGCCTTATATATGGTGTCTGTACCTTTCATCGGTTAACAAAACCTTCTTGAGAACACACTGCGACTCCCCTTTATCATTCATCTGTCTTCCCATGGTGTGTAAATAAAATGATAAAGAACAAACTATACACTTACCCGTTCAAAAGATCCAATTTTATGGACAAGGCTTCTCAACATGAGTGACTAGCTATTGAGATACTGAAAACATGGTTCTTAATCTGTTCTACGTATCGTCAGAAAATTTTTATGTAGGTTTTAGACTCACAGTCGTCTATTGTATAAGTCTTGCAGTGGACAGAGGAAGAAAAAGCTTTTAGACATTGCCATGTGCTGCCTCTTTCTTGGATAAACCCTGCACTCATGTTTAAATATTTTTTTTTATTCCAACATGTAATCACCAGACGTGGTGATTACGTGGTGACGGCACACTCAAGTTTTATCAACTTATATTAATGCCGCCACTAACACAGGGGACAACAGGACAATACTCATTTTCACCTGAGCGAAGTGAAGAAAGTCGTGTTAAGTGCCTTTCCCAAGGGCACTAGATCGGTGGCATGTCAGGACTCGAACCCGGGACCTCTAGGTTCCGAGTCGCGCACTCTGCCGCTACGCCACACGACCCCACACGTTTAAATATTGAAAAGATGACAACCTTGCGTGGTTAAATTTTCACAAGAGACCTACCGGCACCATAGCCGTCTCTGGCTAAAACTTAACCGGACTCTCAATGAATGACAGAATACGGTATTGACGAGTTACTCACAAAAGTGCCGTGGACCCAATGTGGAACGGGCGTGCTGTTACACCACTGGATCGGTCGGTCGCGGAATTCTTCAAAATTATCTCTGAAGAAATACTCTAGTCCAACGGTGCTTGCTTCAATGCAGCCCGAAACGGCAAGAATAACAATTGACAAATGGAAGACTTTGTCGCTGACCGGCATCTTAAAACTTTTCTTGTAAAGTTGGAAGAAGGAAATGGCAGTTCTTGCAAAGTACGAAATGAGACCAACAAGCTTAAGAGGAGACTTATATGAAGTTAGGACGTGTTTGCCCAGTCGATCACTTTGTACATAGAAACGTTGGTATGATGAGCTCATCTGGTCATAGTGCGCATGTGCGGTACTCTAGAACAAGATTGTAAGTCACGTGCTTACAGAACGGGACAAGATGATTGGCGGAGGCTCGAGATGATTTTTTTTATACGAACGTGCGACACATGTCTTATTTTATTTCAGACATATATGAGAGAACTTTATTGTATGACAATTGTACATGGTGCAATGTATGGCAACGACCATTGAACATTGTACAAAAAAGGTATAAAATGAAACTTAACATCCAAGTTACTAAAAACATCAAGTGCTAATATAATATACATTCAAGTAGATATACAAATATACATTCTAATCACATATAAGATCAACCATTCAGTGAAGTCATATCCTGGAGTATCAAATATAGTATGAAAGGGTGGCAGTCGTGGTAACTAAAGACAAACGTGCATTCTTATTTGAGGTCCAAAGTAAAGAAACACATGTATGATTTATTGAATTTGAATTCATGGAAGGAATTGACAAAATGCATATTTATGACCAATTGTACCATCAAATACGTTGTACAATTAACGTTACTGAAAATTAATTTTCCCATACGTACTTTGGTGGGTCCACATACTCTCTAGAGTTCAAGAATGCAAAAAAGGTACGTGTTTTTATGTAACTAGTTTAATGTAGCATATGCAAAGTGCCCCTAACCACTGGCCTCCGATCCCCATGGGACTCTAGGAAAATTCAGACAACGTTAACATGTTACGCATTTCCCAGTGTAGACTGTTTGCCGTGCTTATACAATCTTTTATACGCAAACAGAATTCCACTTAACCTTTAGACTTATTGAATCGTGCAGATATTTGTCAGACTACGTAATGGGTCGACGTCGTTGTAGGTGTACTAATCTACTTTGTTTTTTTGCAGGCCTTTCAAGGACGATTTTGACGAAAACAAAGACGACTGTTCTGTTTCACCCTACGTCAATAGAGGACTGTTCAAGTGAAAAAAATATTGGAGATGGGGTGTCAGTCTAATTCAAGTTGTAGCAAGAACCACTTTTGTAGGCTATGTAGGCTATACGTCGATGAAGGTTAGACATCTAGGTAATACGATACGCCAAAAAGCAGTTACTCAAGCAACTGGATATGATTTTGAAAACGTCAGACGTTTCAGCTAGTATCCACTAGCTTTCGTCAGTGACTGAGAGACCAGAGGGGAAAACAGGTTTATAAGCACAACCTATTGATTGATATGCAAATAAAGTGAAGACAAATTTTTGGAAGTCGAAAAAGGAACAAAGGTCAGACAAGTCAAGACAAGATGATGCAAATGAGTCTGAAAGCTCCTGTTATACAGAACAGGAGCTTAAGTGTTGTCTGTTCTCGGGGCTGGGAGTGCCAAATCCCAAGTGCCGGAAAGATCGACCCGTAGCCCCCCTTCCCTGTTGAGGGTGGGGTATGTAGGCTCTAGCGTTATAGTGCTATGTTGCATCTAAAGCCCTGTATATCTGTGTCCTTTTCATCTTTTGGGTGGGGAATGTGGACTCCCGCTTCATCAATTCGACTGTTTGTTCGTTTCTTTTACATGTATTATTGGTTAGTGTTTTGCATTGTTTAGTAATATTAGTTTTATTCGTATAAGTGGCGGCGCTAACATAAGCTACCTAACTTGAGCCCGTCGTCACTTTGTCCTGTACCCTTATTTGTTCATTGTATAGGTAGAAATTAAAAAAAATCTTTAAAAAAGGTTATATATGTTAAAGCCCCAATCACATATAGCCAAATATGGCCTCCCAAACACTTGCTGAAAATCCGTCAACAATGGTTAGGCCACACCGATTTAATTTATGGATGACATCCTCTGAAGACCCCCAAACTGGTGTGCGCGGGACGAAAAAAATAAAAATCCGGCCAAAAATAAAAATGCTACAAAACCACAGGAATACAAATCTGGTATTGTGAATTTGGCGTATTACATAGCGACGTATACGACAGGCCGACACATGCTGGATTTTTGCGGAATATATGAATCGACACTGCTGTACGTATGTACTGAGTTCTTGAGTCTTGGAGCTTCGGTAGCCTGGCTGCCGTCAACCAGAGTTATCACCACCATGCACTACCCAGGCCTAAAGCCAGGCCAGAGCCTCGGAATACGTGTTTTTTTTTTTGTTTTTTTTAGATCGGGCGAAAATCAATGCGCGCGCGGATGTCATCCATAAAATTAAATCGGCGTGGCCTTAGGAGTAGGTTTGGAGCAAGGCTGGCTTGTATTTGAGTATTCAAAAATTTTGGGCGGCGGGAGAGGTAGGCAGAAGATTTAGAAACTTTGATGACAATCAGTTTGAGATTTTTAGTATAAAAGTCCACCTGTGTTGGCATACTTCATATACGAAATAGGCCAAACGTTATGACCGACATTAAGTAAAATTGGAGGCTGCAGTAGACGGGTCCATTCCATGAACAAGGCTGACGGAGTTAGCCGAAAATTTGGGTAAGTCCCAATGTACCTAGTGTCGGACATAACGTCTAGCCTTTTCGACATTTTAAGTTTTCTTAAACATAAAGGCATCCAAAGCAGCTTTAGGGCTTTGAAACCCGATTTTTCAGAGCCAATATTCCAGTCATTTATCTACATACTGAGTTAAAATCACACTATCCCATTGTATATTGAGCCTCACGGAGCAAAAATTCCCAAAATTCTGACGGAAACTGGTTACTGGAAGGGCCCTAGGCTGATTTTTAGGGTACCACTCAGAAAATAAAGGACTCATCTTAGGGCTTGTTTCTCCAGTTTTAAACGCCCAAAGTAATGCGGAATGCGGACTCAAATGTGATAATGTGAAGCAGTATGTGTCAAGATCACAAAGATTGTCTTATTCATGAATATTTCCAGTTTTGCTGCCCTGAAATCGCACTGGATGTCTTTAAAACAACAATAAGAGCAAACACGAAAACTGTCGCTGTGTACTTTTAGTGAGTATATTTGCTGACGACCTGTAATGTTTACTGTGTCTCACGATCCTTCATCAGGGAACTCTGAAAAACAACCTGCCGTTGCTAGGTAACCAGAGTGTTGTATAGGAATGGTACTGGTTGACACTTTTTTTTATTCCAACATGTAATCACCAGACGTGGTGATGGCACACTCAAGTTTTTTCAACTTATATTAATGCCGCCACCAACACAGGGGACAAATACATGACAGGACAATACTCATTTACACCTGAGCGAAGTGAGGAAATTCGTGTAAAGTGCCTTTCCCATGGCAAAGGGCACAAGATCGGTGGCATGTGAGGACTCGAACCCAGGACCTCTAGGTTCCGAGTCGCGCACTCTGCTGCTACACCACACTACCCTGGGTAGAGTGTTCGCAGAGCAGTAGGTCGTGAGTTCGATCCCCGACCGAGCCATACAGACTTTTTAAAAGACTTTTTAAACTGGTGCATAGCTCTTTCGGTGTTTATTTCATAGCATTTGGGAAAGAGTATAGGAGTTAAACACACACACCACTACTAGTGGACTAGCCCCCTGCTGTAGTGATTGCACAACTGTGTGGCCGTAGGGCTACAGAGACGGAGATGGGAGCCGCCCAATGCACCATATATAGTTGCATTACCGATTGGCTACCATTAAGGCTTATCACGCATGGCAGCCAAGAAATGCATGCAAAAAGCTATCACGATTGTAAACAGCACTGTTTAAAATTGGAATGCAGGGTGGAGCGCATTATGGACCAGAAACGCCCCCTAACGTGGTTGATCATACTGCAGTAGTGACATTTTAGAAAATTAATTAGTTTAACTAATAGGCGATTGTATTTGCAAAGAAACCACCCTTCCTAATCTTTCAGTTATTAAAAGTAGTTTTTACTAGTAGTTTCTCAGTAGTTGTCAGTAGTTCTATGTGTACTACATAAATTGTCTGTTTTTATACCAAATGTTTCTTCTGTTCTTGCAATTAGCCCTCGGGCACGAATTTGCAATAAAAAAACAATTAAAAAGATGTAAAAAAAAAATAAAGGTTTAATCTGAAGAAAAAAATCACTCAGAAGGCTTGTACCCAGAGTACCCCTGGCTGAAATCGTGGTTCTCGTTCCCAACCAAGACCGGGTGGAACACGCACAGGGCCTCGAAGTTCTCATGCGCGGTCACGTGGTGAGGATCGTGCGCGTTCATGTTATAGATGGTTCCGTTCGCAGCATCTACACGAGTCTCCGCCTCCTTCGCCCCCTCTTCCCACGTGTAGGTGGCTCTGCCTGACCAACATACAGGAGGAAAATATACTATCATGAAAGTTCATCTGTGTTGGTAGTTACATGTTTAAAGTTAAAACTTTTGTTCCAACACAAAAAAAATTCTCTCACCTAGCACTTTCGACCAGTCACTCTGGTCCTCCTCAGTAAACTGACCCAGTGAAGCTTGTCACGTGGCTTCTTTGAAGTGTGACGTCAACACTGG